ACCCATAATAAATATGCATCATATAAAACCACACCCCTCTCCAACCCTATCGAAATATATTCTTCCCCCCAATTGTGACAAAAAAACCGCACTTATTTAATCAGAATCCACACCATAAATCAGGTGGATTATAATCTATGATTTAGGAAAATATAAAAGGAAAAATCCACCTTATTCTATCATGTCTTATAAGAGAATCAATGCAAACTTGAATTAAAATAAAACTGCAGCCACCAATAGAACCAAACCTCAAATTTTCAAGAAAAATTATGATAAGACTCAACCTTGAAAACCTGATCTAATGTAAGGCAAATTCATAGAATCTCCCAACATTAGACACTTTAGACGGGACTCAGGTGAAACACCAATCAATATACTTTCCTCAATTTTAGCTCTCCCTGCCAACCAATCCGCCGGAGAATTCCCTTCCCGAAGAATACGTGTCAACCATATAGAGATCTTGAATTTCTCAATCCTCTCTTTGATTCTATTCCAAATACCCACCAAATTCCACTTGGGTATAGAACCCATCTCAACCATCTCAAAATCCTTATATAATCCTTATATAGATTAATAGAATCAGTCTCAATTATAAGATAAAAGAAATAAAAGAAGATAGCCACCTTCAAATCCAACAGAAAAGCCCAGCATTCGGCTTCAAAAGGGGAGTAAGCAACAATCGGAGAAGAAAAGAAACACCTGCAAATGCCTTGATAATCTCTAAAAATACCACCAGCTCCCGCTGCCATCAAATCCCAACTACCATCAATATTCACTTTCAACTAACCCTTAGGAGGTGGTTGCCGCCTAATGAGAGTGGTCATCCTACACACCTTTGGTTGATTTATTTCTGCATTCAAACTCAAATTTCGGCAAGCCCGGAATAAATAAGATAGAATGTAAGAAACCACAATTTTGGGAGTCAAACCCAAATTTTGATACTTATGGCCATTCCTTGCTACCCAAATAAACCACATCACTAACAAAGGAAAACTGGCAAATTTAGAGTCCAATCTCTCAGCAGACCTCCATTTAAAGAGATAACTTTTAATATCCCAGCAGTTAGACCAATTATATATATATATATATATATATA